AGCAGACTGTCAAATTACAGCGGGGAGGGGAGGGAGATCTGGGGGAGGTAAGAGATCAACCGAAGGACTTGTATGCATGCATATAAGTACAACCATTGGACACAAAACTCTGGGGAGGGAGGGCATGCATGGGAGGGGGAGGCAATGTTAAAACATGTACACAGATAATAATTTAATTTTAAAAATTAAAATAAGTAAATAAATAAAAAATAAATCTCAAGACAGTTACAGCAGCCATTGAATTAAGAGGAAGGTTAAAGGCCAGTTCTTTCTGTAACAAATTTTCCTCAGGCGGGACAGTGTAAGGCAGGTGGGAAAACAGCCTATGCCTCTCCTGCAGCCCCATGTTACGGGGCCATAAAAGCTAAAACAATGCACAGCCCCAGAGGGCTGTCAGTGCCGGGCCAGGCCAGGCCCTTAGGTGTGGTCTCACAACCCCCTTCCCCACCCTCGGGGCTTTTTGCAAAGCCCCAAAAGGTCCAGAGGTCCCACCCGTATTTTGGGGACAGAGAAGCCAAAAAGTTTTAAAGGAAAAGCTTCCACCAGATAGATTGCTTTGCTCAGACTTTGAGGCAACTCCTCTGAGTCCGCAAAGTCAACCCCAAGGTCCTTAAAGGGGAAGGCAGCTCTTGCTGATCTCCATGCGACACCCGTGAGCCTCCTCTCTTCCTTCATCGCCTCCTTCCTGCTCCTCTCCCTCCAAGCACAGGCCTTCCTGGTGGTGTTTGGACTGGCGACTCCGCTGCCTGAGACATTCCCTCTGAACACCTCCTTCCACTCGATGCTCAAATGTCATGTCCCAATGAAGCCCACACCGGTGCCTGATTACACTGTAGCTGCCACCACCTTCCCGGCCCCGCCCCCCGCCCCTCTACTGTGTCCTTTCTGTTTGGCACACTGGTGAGCCCATCACTAGCCGGCTGCTGCTCCAGGAGAATGTGGGCTCCATGACGGCTTGTCCATTCCCTTCCTTATGTAGCATGAGCTGTGCCTGGCAAACTGGGGGTCTCACTAAAGCTCTCTGAGTCAGAGACCACAGGGATGGCCATCCGCACTCTGGTGGCGACCTGGCCTCCCTGAGTAGGAGCCGGGTGCGGGAGTGAGCAGCGCAGAGGGCAGGCCTGCACAGGGACGACCGGGGCCAGGGCGCAGCCTGACCGCTCTCCACGCCCGGCTCAGGGTCAGCACTGAGCTGTGAGCCAGGAGGTCATGGTTTGTTTCTCCAGGACACAGGCCAGACGTGGGCTCCCTCCCCAGTGTGTGGAGTGCAGGAGGCAGCGGATCAGTGATTACCTCTCATCATGGATGTTCCTCTCCCTCTCCCTTCCCTCTGAGATCAATAAAAATAGATTTAAAAAACAAAAACAAAAACACCCTTTCTCTGCCACACGAAGGCACAGCCAGAGGACCAGGAAGAATCCCCACGGAAAACAAAAACAAAAACCAAGGTGATAAGGGGAAACAATGAGCATTATGTAAATGAAGGTAACTATAAACAAAGGACTGCTAAACCGCTGTAAAGAGACACTGTTAAAGAGACACGGCCTAAAAGCCTCCGCGGAGGCGGGGTGGGCGGCGCTGACCTGAGTTAACGCCAGTCCCTGGCCCACCTGGTGGCCGTGCTCAGAGGCTGCTGATGCCTCCCTCCCGGCACCTGAGGTTCCCGCCCAGCCCCGGAGTCCTCTCAGGCCGACCGCGGCCCACAGCACGCCAAACCAGAACCAGAACCAGAACCAGAACCGGAGACAAGTGACCCGCCCTGTGTGCGCCCAGGAGAGCGGCGGAGGGGCCTGCAGGCCGGGCCGAGCCGCTGCGCCGGGGCCGGGTCCTGCTCCGGCGGGGCCTCCAGCTCCCGGGCCCCAACTCCAAGCTGCGAGGGCTCGCCCGATGGCCCACAGCTGGGCCTGGGCCTGGGCCTGCTCCACCGCCCCCCCACCCCCCACCCCTCTCCCTCACCTCTCACCCCCCCCTCTACCCCCTACCCCCCAACCCTTTCTCCCTCACCCCTCACCCCCACCCCCTCTCCCTCACCCCTCTACCCCCCCACCCCTCAACCCCCTCCCTTACCCCTCACCCACCCCCCACCCCCCAACCCTTTCTCCCTCACCCCTCAATCCCCACTCCCTCTCCCTCACCCCTCTACCCCCCCACCCCCACCCCCCAACCCCCTCCCTTACCCCTCACCCACCTCCCACCCCCCAACCCTTTCTCCCTCACCCCTCACCCCCCCAGCCCCCAACTCCCCCTCCCTTACCCCCACCCCCCATCCCCACCACCCTCGCCACCACCTCCACACTCCCCCACCCCCACCCCCAGCACCCCCCCAGGCTCACGGTTCTGCTCGGCCGCGGGCAGGTGCGCCGTGCTGCAGGCCAGGAAGCACTCGTTGCCCATGTCCCAGTCCAGCAGCCCCGGGACCTGGCCGTGGAGGCCGGCCCAGAGGTCCGGGCGCTGCAGCCGCACGTCCACCTTCGGGGGAGCCGGGGCGGCAGACTGAGGCTGCAGCCGCGCGGCCGGCTGATCGGTGGCTCCCGCCCTCCCGCCCGCTCCGCCCGCTCAGGACTCGGAGTTCGCCCTCCCCGGGCGGGATGGCTTTAAGGCTTACCCAAAGTCCCACCTGGAGAAGCTGTGGGGTGGGATTAAGTGGTGCTCTTTTTTAATTTATTGATCCCAGGGCGGAAGGGAGAGGGAGAGAGAGAAACGTCAATGAGAGGGAACGTGGATCGGCTGCCTCCCGCACACCCGCCCTGACCGGGAATCGAACTGTGACCTCTTTGTTTATAGGTCAACGCTCAACCACTGAGCCATGCTGGCCAGGTTTAAATTTTGTTTTTTAAAATTTAAAAATTTTAGAAAAATCCTAAGAATACTATAAAAACTCAAAAAAGTTGTAATTCAGCAATTACAGTACTGACATTTGCCCAGATTTAATTTTTCTTCCCCATGCGCATGGACATGTTCTTCTGAGCTGGGTAAGAGTATCTGCAGACGTCACACCGTTAAACACATCGGCTCACATAACCAGGAAATCAGAAATGAGAACATTTTGTTGTTGTTAATCCTCCGCCGAGGATATATTCCCCCAGGTTTTAGGGAGAGTGGAAGGGAGGGGGAGAGACAGAGAAACATCGATGTGAGAAAAACACACTGACTGGTTTCGTCCTGTATGAGCCTGACCAGGGCTCAGGCCAGGGAGGAGGCTGTAACCAAGGAACGTGCCCTTGACTGGAATCGAACCCGGACCTTTTGGTCTGAAGGCGGCGCTCTATCTCCTGAGCCACACCGGCCAGGGCCCAACAATATCCTTTATACCGGTTTGGCTCAGTGGATAGAGCGTCGGCCTGCGGACTGAAGGGTCCCAGGTTCGATTCCGGTCAAGGGCATGTACCTTGGTTGTGGGCACATCCCCGGTAGAGAGTGTGCAGGAGGCAGCTGGTCGATGATTCTAACTCTCTATCCCTCTCTCTTCCTCTCTGTAAAAAATCAATAAAGTATATATTTTTTTAAATTTGGTTTTGGCCCTGGCCGAGTGGCTCAGTTGGTTGAACTATCCTCCCAATGCACCAAGGTCAGGGCACATACAGTAATGCAACCATTGGATACATAAATGAATGAACAAATCCCTGTCTCTCTCCTTCCCTCCCTCCCTCCTCCTCTTCCTCCCTCCCTCCCTGTTCCCCTCCCTGCTCCCCTCCCTGTCTCCCTCCCTCCCTTCCTCCCTCTATTTCTATAAAAATCAACTGAGAAGTGTGTTTTCGGCCCGGCCGGTGTTGCTCAGTGGTTGAGCATTCACCTATGAACCAGGAATCCACGGTTCGATTCCCAGTCGTGCTGTTGTGGCCGAAGGACCAGCCAGCTCTGAGGGAGGAAAGTGTAACCTTTATGTAGCAGATCTGCTTCCGGGTCTAAGGCTGAACTGAACTCAGGAGCCTCTGACCCTGAGGGTCCCAGCAGCTCCGCCCAGTGGGTTCGGCAGGGCGTGGGGCGTGCTATCAGAGCGGGAAGTAAGACCATGGTTTTAACCAGACACTGAGCTCCCGCCCCCCCATTTTCCTTTTCAGGTTTGGCACACTGGACAGAGCATCGGGCTTCAGACCAAGGCGTCCCAGGTTCGGTTCTGGCCAAGGGCAGGTACCTCTGTGCAGGCTGCTCCTCAGCCCTGGGCCTGGTCGAGGAGCGTGCGGGGGGCGGGGGGCATTTTCTTGAACTGAGTGAGGGCAACTCCTGCTCTTTCCCTCTGTTACCACGTCCCCGCTCTTGTCTCTGCCCACCAGGTTACTCCACGCCCGCTCCCTCCTTCCAGAGCCCCATCCTGGCCTTGGTCTCCCCGGGGGCCCTGTCTTTCCCCAATCAGGCTTCCCCTGCTCTGCCAGCTGTGCCCACGCCACTCACACCCAGGCCCTGTGGCCTCTCTGCCCCCTTGTGGTGCACCAGCCCTGCTTGGGGGCTCGCTGTGGGTCTGAGGACTCTGACCCGAACCCCCGCTGGCTGCGGGAGCTGAGGAATGGGGGCGGGGGGGGGGGGGGAGCGGGGCCACAGGAGGGACACACGCAGCAGGGGCAGCGGCTGGCTTAATTAATTAATTAATTTTAAACACATTTTTATTGATATCAGAGAGGAGGGGGGAGGTAGAGAGAGAGGAGTGGGAACCATGATCGGCTGCCTCCTACTTGGGATCGAGCCCACAACCCAGGCTTGTGCCCCTGACCTGGAATTGAACCAGGACCTCCTGGTTCATAGGTCAACACTCAACCACTGAGCCACACCAGCCAGGCTTTATTTTTTTAAAAAAATATTTTTAATTGATTTTCGGAGAGGGAGAGAGAGAGAGAGAGGTGAGAGCAAAGTATGGATCGATTGCTTCATGTCCACCCCGTTATGGATCAAGCCCACAACCTGGTTCTGTGTCCTGACTGGGACGGGACAGGATCCCAGTCATTGTAGGGGCCCGGGCACTGGGACGTATCCTTGGAGGCAATTTCAGAAGAGAAAGGGCGGGAACTCGCTGTGACAGGAGCAGGGGGAGGAAGCAGACAGGGGGGCTGGGAAAGGGGGCCTGAGACCAGGGGAGGAGCAGAGGGAGGAGGGTGACCAAGGAGCCAGACAGGTGGGGGAACAGGCTGGCTTGTCAGGAGCGAAGGCCCAGCTCTGGGCTGGAGAGCCGGCCAGTGCCAACCTCCTGGCCGAGCCCCGTCCGCCCGCGAGGCCTCCTCACTTCCGGGCGCCCAGGGCCAGGGCCACGATGAGGCCCACGACCAGCAGGAACATGGCGACGGAGAGCAGCACGGTGATGACCACCATGCCGCCCGTGCGGGCCATCCCCAGCCCGATGGAGGCCGCCTCGCGTCCTGCGGGGGGCGGGAGGTCAGGGCGTGTCTCCTCCAGGCTCGGCCGGGCACCCTTTCGCCTGCCCACTCGCCCAGCGCCCCGGCCATCCGCGGGGCCAGACGCCCACCCGGGACCGTCCAGGGGGCCACGGCAGTCAGCGGGCCCGGCGCCCGCGGAGGGCTTCGGCGTGGCGGGCAGAGGGCCACGCGGAGGGCGCGGCAGCGGCTCCGCCCAGGGTGCGGCCATCCCCAAGGAGCGCATAGTAGGTGAACCACAAACCTCCAAATCAATCAGAGCACACGCACGCGATAAGTGCCGGCTGCGGGTACTCACGAGGAAGGGTGGACATGGGGACCTCTCGGCTGGACTCGGTGGCCGCCCCCTTCCGCACCCGGTAGGAGACGCTTTGGGTTAGGAGAGAGGAGAGGGGACCCTCAGGCGCGTCTGGGCGGGACGCGGGAGCCCAGCCAGCCTCCCATTGGCCCCGGGCGCCGCCCCGAGCGCCCGTTCTTTTTAATATTTTTATTATTTGTTTTCAGAGAGGGAGGCTCGGAGAGAAGCATCGATGGGGAGAGAAGCGCGGACTGGCCGGAGAGCCCGCAGCTGTGCCCCTCCCCCAGGTGACCACGTCCCCCCGGCCGCCCGCTGCGGGCCGCGGGCCGGCCCGGCACCTACTAGTATTTGGTTCCGGGTGCGAGGCCTGTCACCTGGTAGGCGCTGAGCCGGGTGACGGTGAAGCCAGCCCCGCTGTCCACCACGCTCACCAGCTCCCTTCGCCCGCGGCAGGGCGGCACCACGAAGCCACGTGTCAGCACTGCGGGGAGGGAGGGGAGGGTCAGCACTGCGGGGAGGGAGGGGAGGGTCAGCACTGCGGGGAGGGAGGGAGGGGGAGGGGTCAGCACTGCGGGGAGGGGAGGGGGAGGGTCAGCACTGCGGGGAGGGAGGGGAGGGGGAGGGTCAGCACTGCGGGGAGGGGAGGGGGAGGGTCAGCACTGCGGGGAGGGGACGGGGAGGGGTCAGCACTGCGGGGAGGGAGGGGGAGGGGAGAGGTCAGCACTGCGGGGAGGGGAGGGGGAGGGGTCAGCACTGCAGGGAGGGGACGGGGAGGGGTCAACACTGCGGGGGGGAGGGGAGGGGTCAGCACTGCGGGGAGGGGAGGGGGAGGGGTCAGCACTGTGGGGAGGGGACGGGGAGGGGTCAGCACTGCGGGGAGGGACGGGGAGGGGTCAGCACTGCGGGGAGGGACGGGGGAGGGGAGAGGTCAGCACTGCGGGGAGGGGAGGGGGGAGGGGTCAGCACTGCAGGGAGGGGACGGGGAGGGGTCAGCACTGCGGGGGGAGGGGAGGGGTCAACACTGCGGGGAGGGGAGGGGGAGGGGTCAGCACTGTGGGGAGGGGACGGGGAGGGGTCAGCACTGCGGGGGGGGGAGGGGGAGGGGTCAGCACTGCGGGGAGGGACGGGGAGGGGTCAGCACTGCGGGGGGGGGGAGGGGGAGGGGTCAGCACTGCGGGGAGGGGACGGGGAGGGGTCAGCACTGCGGGGGGAGGGACGGGGAGGGGTCAGCACTGCGGGGGGAGGGACGGGGAGGGGTCAGCACTGCGGGGAGGGGGAGGGGACGGGGAGGGGTCAGCACTGCGGGGAGGGGGAGGGGACGGGGAGCGGTCAGCACTGCGGGGAGGGACGCGTTGGGGACGGGTCGGGGTCGGGCTTCTGGAGGCCGAGGGGGCGTTCACAGCGCGCGCTGGCCGCGGGGGCGAGGGGCGGGCGTGGCGGGCAGGGCGGTGCCCGGGCCCGGGCAGACCTGTGCTGTCATTGGCTCTGCGGACCGTCAGGGTGGCGTTGCCCCCGGTGAGGTGGCAGGGGGGCAAGGCCACCAGCAGGCTCTCGGTGAGCGCCGGGGCCAGCAGGCCGGCGAGGCTGGAGATGTTGAAGACTGCGGGGGGGACAGGGGACGTCAGGGGCTCCACTGTCAGGCCTCCCCCCAGCTGCCTCTCCCGCCCTGCAGTCTGTTGGCCGGACACGGACCTTTGCTGGTCCGACCGCCAGGTGGCAGGCGTGGGCTGCAGGAGCCGGTGCCTACCGGCCGGCAGATCCGGGCCCAGCCCCCCGCCCCGCCCGGGCGCTCTGCCTCCGGGCCAGGCCGAGGACCGGCTGTAGTGACCGATGACCAGTCACTGCCATCCCAGTCCCCACCCCGCCTGGCCGGGCGAGCCCCTCTTTCTGAGACTGGAAGGCACGGGGGCTGCCCGTCCAGGCCCCCCTCCCCCACACGGCAGAGACCTGCAGCCCCTGGGGCCAGGGTAACCATCAGGACCAGGGTCAAGGGCAAGGCCCGGCTGGGTAGCAGGGACGCCATAGCTGCTGGGCGCTGGATCGATGCCGGCGGCTGGGGCTTCTGGAGGCAAGTGAGGCCTCGCCCGGGGCCGCGGTTTTGTCCTGGGGCGGGAGGGGCGGGAGAGGAATCTCGTCCAACCTGCCCCTTGGGCTTTCCAGCCTGCGGGTGGGGGGGAGGGTAGGTAGGGGCAGACAGGTTTTTCAGGATGGGGAGCTGCCCTCAGGCCCAGAGTAAGCATCTTGGTGGCTTAGTCAGCTGCCAGGGGGGAGCAGTGGGGAGGGGGGTGGTGGTAACTAAGGGGTGGGGGTTAGGGTTGGAATGGGGGGTGGGGGTGGGGGTGGGGGTGGGGGAGGAGGGGTGGGGGGGGTGGAGGAAGGAGGGGGGTGGGGTGGGATGGGGTGGGGGGAGGGGTGGGGTGGGTGGGGGGAGGAGGGGGTGGGGGGGAGGGGAGGGGTGGAAATCCCCCCTTCTCTGGGCCCACACCTGGAGGGCGCCGGTGGGTGCTGCCGTGTGGAGCCCAGTCTGGGGGCCGCTCCCCGGTGGCGGGAGGCCCTGGAGGCAGCGAGCTCTGAGGGCCCCGGCTCAGGACAGGGAGCCGCGCCGAGGCCCGGCTGCGAGGACGGCGCGGCTGTGCAGGGGCAGCAGCGCCCAGGGCTCCAAGGCCGCCGGCCAGGCCTCAGGCTGTGTCACCAGGAACCGGAGGTCAGCCCGGGTGCAGGCTGGATTCCCAGGGCGGGGCGTGCAGGAGGCAGCCCATCCATGGTTCCCTCTCATCATGGATGTTTCTCTCTCCCTCTCCCTTCTCCTTCCTTTCTGAAATAAAAAACATACATATGCGAAAAAAGGGGCCCTGATTCTGAGTGCCCGAGGCCCAGGCCCCGCTGTGGGGCGCAGGGGGGAGCGGTGCTGGGAGTGGGGGTGGGAGGCTCGGGGAGCAGGGCGCCGGGCTCAGCCTGAGGAGTGTCTGAGAACCGGACAGAGGCCGGGAGAAGGTGAAAACGCCCGCCCCTCTGGCTGCCGCACCCTGTGCTGAGGGAGATGGGATGGGAGCGGAGGGGAGTCCGGGATACGGGGCTGTGGGCTCCAACGTTTGTCCTCCCGGGTGCTGGGCACTGGGGGCACTAGCTCCCCTTTGCAGACGTGGAAACAGACTCCAGAGGAGCGGGCCCTGTGGGATGCGGGCCGGGGGACGGAGGGTCCGCAGGCTGGTGCGTGTCTGGCTGGCCTCACGGGGGAGTGGTCCTTGGGGTTAGAGGCAGCGGGTGGGAGGAGGAACAGCGTGGAGCAGTTGCCGCCCCCACTCGCCTGGCGGGGAGGACGTGCAGCAGGGGGCGTCCCGCCGGGATCCAGCGGCGGCCGCGCAGCCCGAGTGTCCGGTCCGTTAGCGCCTGACCCTGTCTTCCCCGGCCCGGCGCAGGTCTGGGTCCTCGGCAAAGCGAGGGGCGGGAGGCTGTGCCCTCAGCGGGGCAAAGCCTGGGTGCAAGCAAGGGGGACAGCGAAGAGGGGCGGGGGCCTTAGACAGTGCTCCTCCCAGTCTAACGTGCGCTGCTCCAGGCATCTACAATGTACTTTTATTGATTTCAGAGAGGAAGGGCGAGGGGGGCGGGGGAACATCGATGGAGAGAGAGTCTTGGATCGGCTGCCCCCTGCAGCCCGGGCATGGACCCTGGCCAGGAACCCAGCCGGGACCTCTGGCTCACAGGTCAGCGCTCAGCACTGAGCCACGCGGGCGGGCGCCTCCTGTTAAAATCAGGCTCAGGTTCAGTGGGTCTGAGGTGAGGCCTGAAGTCCCGCATCGACAACGAGCAGCCAGGCCAATGGTCTGAGCGGCCAGACACCTGGGCCATGTGCTGGCCCCAGGCCAGGTTCCCGCCTCCGGCCGGCCGCCCTCCCGAAGAACCGGATTCTGCTCTCCTCGCTCTTGGCCTCTGTCCTCTTTAGATCAGAGTCTGCCATCGTGTGCAAACCAGAGGAGCTTTGTGCGTGAGAGGAGCTCAGAGGGAGGAGGCTGACCAGGAGGTGGACTCCGGGAAGGGCTTCCTGGGCTCTCCCGTTGGGGTGTCCCTCAGTCGGGGTGCCCTGGCCAGGAGGGCTCTCCGCAGGGGCTGGGGGAGTCTGTCTCCATGGCGGCACCAACCAGGAGCAGAAGGGGCGAAGCTGGGTGTACGCGGGAGGGCTGTGTGGGACACTCCGAAGCCCTGCCCCACCCGAACCTGTGAGCAGAGCTCAGGCCAGCACTAAAGGGATAGAGGGCCTGCAGCTTTAAACCCGCCCTTTCCCTCCAACCCCCGCCCCCCGCCCTGGCGCCCCCCTCTTCTACCCCCCCCCCCCCCCAGGTTCCTGGAGGAGCTGAGAGTTGTGTCTTCTCCCTGCCCTGCCAAGCTGCTCACTGATGGCTCTGGAGGCTGTGCTTTGTGGTCTCCATGGAAACCATTAGTTGCTAAGCAACTGGAGCATCATCTGTGCTGAGCTCTCACATCTAATTATCCCATCACGGTGGTGGAGAAGGGTTTGGGGAGCTGAGAGGAGGGGAGGCCAGGCTCAGGAGTGAAAGGATAACTCAGCCTCTCAGCTAAGACTCCTGGGAAACACGAGGCCTGGCAGCCGCGCCCCGCCCCCGGAGAACTCTGCGCGGCCTCAGCAAACCCGAAACACAAGTGCTGGTGTCTCAAATCTGGACCCACTCTCTCTAGCTGTCTCCCCCTGCTGGGTTCTCAATCCTGAGCTCCCTCAAGTTCCCTCCCCTGCCTCTTTCCTTCGGAGTCCCACGTTCAAGTTAGCCAGCACGTGTAAAGCAGCCACCATGTCCCTGCCCTGTGCAAGGCACCAGGGACGGGAAGGCCAGAGAAGTTCCGCCTGGAGCTCCCAGGCTCTCTCTGTGCTCGGCCGGGGTCCTCCTCCCCCAGACCCGCTCTGTGCTCCGCCGGGGTCCTCCTCCCCCAGACCCGCTCTGTGCTCCGCCGGGGTCCTCCTCCCCCAGACCCGCTCTGTGCTCCGCCGGGGTCCTCCTCCCCCAGACCCGCTCTGTGCTCGGCCGGGGTCCTCCTCCCGCAGACCCGCTCTGTGCTCCGCCGGGGTCCTCCTCCCGCAGACCCGCTCTGTGCTCCGCCGGGGTCCTCCTCCCGCAGACCCGCTCTGTGCTCCGCCGGGGTCCTCCTCCCGCAGACCCGCTCTGTGCTCCGCCGGGGCCCTCCTCCCGCAGACCCGCTCTGTGCTCCGCCGGGGTCCTCCTCCCGCAGACCCGCTCTGTGCTCCGCCGGGGCCCTCCTCCCGCAGACCCGCTCTGTGCTCCGCCGGGGTCCTCCTCCCGCAGACCCGCTCTGTGCTCCGCCGGGGTCCTCCTCCCGCAGACCCGCTCTGTGCTCCGCCGGGGTCCTCCTCCCGCAGATCGCTCTCTGAGTGATAGCATCGTTTTTTCCGGACGCTGGTCGTTTTGCAACCAGAAAGCCTCCGCTGAGAGCCCAGGTCTGAGGGCTGCACTGCCGTTCCCGATAAAGCCCCTCCCCCCGGCCTTAGGGAAGTGGGTCTGGGGGCTCCAGGGGCCTTTCAGCCTCCCCTGGGGGCCTCTAGCTGATGAGTGGAGCCATAGGCTTAGGTAAGTCACTCTGAACCTCCATTTTTCTCACCTAAAATGGGAAGACTCATTCCTTCCCATTCCTCTAGCAACATATGACAGGTGTGAGAAATGGAGGTGCAGGCCCTGGCTGGTGGCTCCTTGGCTAGAGTGTCAGCCCGCAGACCAGACCAAAGGGTCATGTGTTTGATTCCAAGTCAAGGGCATGTACCTCGGTTTCCTGTTTGATCTCCAGGCCTGGTCAGGGCACCTGCAGGAGGCAACCCATCGATGTGTCTCTCTCTCTTTCTCCCTTGCCCTCCTTCTCCCCCTTCCACTCTCTCTAAAAATCAATGGGAAAAAATATCCTCGGGTGAGGATTAACAAGCACGCACGCACGTTAGTGCACACACACACACATGCACACATGCACACATGCAGGAGGCACGCAGGAGGTCATTGCCCTGATCTGTAGGAGGACACACTGGGAGAAGCCCTGGAGCTGAGCCTGGAGGTGAGATGCAGCGCTCAGCAGACCAGATTTGGTCCCACGGGACACGGCGAGGCCTCTGTCCTTGAGGCCTGAGGCTGGAAGAGGCCATGAGAATGACAGATCTCCTTGCTCGGATGGAAAAGACATGGATGCTCCATTTTCTTTCTAATGTTGCCCACGCCTGCTTCCAGCTTCACAGCTTGGGCCAAATTACCCACGTAGCTGCCCGGAGTGCCGATCCTCCTCTGTGGGAAGGGTAGACAGTCTGTCTCGTCCCGATACTGCGTCTGTCACTCAGTTAATTTATGAAAGAGTGTCTAGCACAGGATCTGGTTCAATAAATATTAATTTAAGTAATTAATCTTCTCCTTTCTATTAACCCTTCATGCAGATAGACACAGAGGCAACTCATTATCTCCCCAAGATTATAGGGTGAGTGGAGAAGGAGATGGCATAGAAATTAGAATTTGCTTGGCTCAGTGATTGAGCATCAACCTATGAACCAGGTCAGAATTCAATTCCCAGTCAGGGCACAGGCCCAGGTTATGGGCTCGATCCCCAGTGCAGGGCATGCAGGAGGTAGCCAATCAATGATTCTCATCATTGATGTTTCTATCTCTCTCCCTCTCCCTTCCTCTCTGAAATCAATAATTAAAAAGATAATTCTAGCCGAAACCGGTTTGGTTTAGTGGATAGAGCATCGGCCTGCAAACTGAAAGGTCCCGGGTTCGATTCTGGTCAAGGGTATGTACCTTGGTTGTGGGCACATCCCCAGTAGGGGGTGTGCAAGAGGCAGCTGGTCGATGATTCTCTCTCATCGATGTTTCTAACTCTCTATCCCTCTCTCTTACTCTGTGAAAAATCAATAAAATATATTTTAAAAAGATAATTCTATTATATAAAAGCATAATATGTAAATTAACCATCACTTCACCACACCCACAAGCCAATCAGGATCGACTATGCAAATTAACCCAACCAAGATGGCTGCTGTCATGGAGAAAGCAGGGGGCTTGGGTTTCCCAGCAATGGAAGAAGCCAAGCTTTC